CCCCTGGGGGGCATTTCTTAAATGGTTGTGAGCTCCCCAGAGCTGGTGGCATCTGCAGAACTGTGTGATGCCTCCAAGGCGCTGCCACGTGTCGTGGAAGCAGCGCGCACACAGGCAGSAGCTCCTGCCCCTGCCAGAGGWGGTGCAGGCAGCRCCCCGTTCCAGCAGCGCTTTGGGCTGCCCTAGTGCCGAGCGTGAGCAGCAGAACAAGCAGGAAGCAGAGCTTCAGCTCCAGGGAGTGCTGTCCCTAGCGAGCTTTGCCCGCCTCAGCCGGGGCTCCTGACACAGCCCTGCTCTGCAGGCACGGATCATGGAAGGGGCGCTGCTGCCCGGGCTGCTGGTGCCGCGGCGGTGCCCTTCCCCGCTCACGTCACTACCGCACGGTGCCGTCAGTGCGGCCAGGGGCGGCCCGGGCTGCGCCTGCCCCAGGACGGCCAGACCAGGGGCTGCCGCCTGCCTTGCTGTTATCGCAGAGCTACTGCTCTGCTCTGAGCTGCGGCTCTCCCRGGATAATGAGCTAAATACGCGTTGTGCTGCTCTGAGGAGCGTGGTGTTACCCTGTGGACGGTTTCCCCACCCTGCTGTTACCCTGTGTCCCTGAGAGCAGATCTGCTGCCACTAGCCCAGCCCCTGGCAGTGCCTAGGGCTGAGTTCTCCCCGGCAATGGCATTAACCCCAGAGCTCCTCTTACGCCGCACTCAAGGTGGAATTTATGTAGGCCAGTCTCCTCATGTTTACATCGCTTTATTGGTTATTTTAGAGCAGCATTCCCCATGGCCTCGGCATCTTGGGACCACGTCTGTCTGGCCACCTTCCCGTGAACCTCCACATGGTAAATGCAGGTGTACTCCGCGTTTCCCCAGTTGCTCTGCACCTCCAGCTTCAGATACTGAAAAGCTTGGGAGAGCTTCTGCTGCAAAGAAAACATGGSAAGAAGAAACATGCCTGCTCGATTGCAAAGAGCCACTGCACAAGCCACGCATCTCCCTGTGCCAGCATCTCCCGGGCCCTGCGCAGAGCAGGTCTCTCTGACCATCCCCACCCGGCATTGTGACTGGTGATGCTCTTTGTGCCACAGGCCTGAAGGGAAACCTTCCTTCTGCCTGGCCCTTGCCCACACGCGCTTCCTCTACCTTCAGAGGGAAGGTCTGAATGGCCTCTTTTTCCACGTCGTACRTGAAGGAACCAAGGAGAGTTTCTTCCTCGCCCTCCTTCTGCACTCCCTTCAAGAGAGAGACCAGCGTGAGCCTCGCANCACCAAGGCCCAAGCGGGGCAGCATGSCCAACAAGGGAATGCCTCTTCTCCCCATGGCATTTTTTTCCCCACCACCGTAGCCCGAGCAGCAGAGACTTACAGACACAGTGAAATCTCGGGGGGCGCTGCTGACCGTGCCGCTCGGCGAGCCCCCCTCATAAATGTGCTGCAGAGTGACAGCAGCTGGCCAGATGCGGGCGGGCAGCTGAATGACCACGTGCCCCTGGGAGCCTTGGAAGGCCCAGCACTGCCCASGTGTCACGTCAGGCTGCAAGCACAAGAGAACAGCAAGAAATGCAGAGGGTGTGATGGGGACAGCATCAGTGCTAGAGCAACTGGAAGCACACGCAGCCCTTGGCCCACAGGTTGCATTTCTGCTCCAAAAGGAAGAGCACACGTGGGAGGCAGGGCAGAGATGCAGAGGCCTCTTGCAGCAGCTCAAGAGGGGACACTAAATGATTGCGCGAAGGGAGACCTGTCGGCTCCGTGACTCCTTCAGCCACGCCAGCCCTGCCCCAGGGCCCTGCSCAAACATCTCTACCTGCCCAGCCCAGTTTGGTGCCACCAAATGCACCTTGAAGGAGAGACTCCTTCCCCGCGCAGTTCTCTTTGGGGACCAGCAAAATGCTGCCTGGAGGATTTGCAGGGATCAGGGACAGGGTGCGGCCCCTCAGGGTACTTCCTTGGAGTCCCACTCCTAAGGGAGCCGCTGCGTTSGAGCAAGTGAAAGCCTTGGGGGTGAGGAATCCCTGCTGGGGACAGGAGCTGCAGGTCTGAGCAGAGGGGAGGTGCCCTGGTCTTTTCCCCTGCTTCCCAGAGGGGTCGGAACGAAAGCCACGCACGCAGAGCATTTCTGCTACGGTACCTGCAAAATGGTATCTGGCGGGTTTGCAGCACACAGCATCCAAAAGACCTTGCAGAGCCAACGCTCTCCCCGGGTGTAAGTGGGGGAAGTGCTCTGCACATCAATGGCAGCGCCTGAAAGGCAGATGGAGCTGCTGCCTGCGAGCTGCCACAGCGCGGCTGCTTCCAGGCCATTTCCAAGAGTGCCGCCAGCTGGAGGCCAAGCGGAGGCCGTGCTGTGTGCGCGGCACAGCCCAGGGCAGCCTCTCCCTTTGGGTGGACGGGAACGCTCAGGGGAGAGGAAGAGAACCTCTGCCTCGGCACAAGAACCCACGAGGGCAGCGCCAGAGGCACCTCTGAGATGGCAGAGCCCCCRGGCAGGAGCGGCTGTGGCTCAGAGACAGCCCCTCTGCCACAGCCTTGCTCGGGGATCCCCAGGTGTCCTTTCATGTCCCGCAGCCTTGGTGAGCAGGGGCTGCCACGCAGCCTCCCCAGGGACACCAGCACAGCACGGGGAGACTTGTGTGCCTGCGTGCTCACCTGAGCTCTGCAGAGCCCAGTCAGAGAGCTGCACGGGGCTTTCCTCGAGCAGGGCCTCTCTCATTTGCTGCACTTCCTGGCAAAGACACAAGCAGACACAGGAAAGGACCACCTCAGCAGCCTGCTAGCAGGGCTACTAGACCTGGCACAGAGGAAAGTCAAGAGCCCGGCTCACAAAACGCAAGAGCCACCTTGTGCTGAGCCCTGAAACCCTCCCTTCCTTGTGAAGCCTTTCGAAGAAACGTGCGGAGAAGGACCAAGAGATGATTGAGTACCTTAAATCATATTTGCCGCTTTACGCTGCACCCTTTCTCAGACTTGCACGTCCCTCTTGCACTGGGGAACGCAGAACTGCTCACAAGTTTGCAAGGGTGGCCTCAGCAGAGCTGATTAAAACAGTAGGGTCCTCTCTATCCCTCCCTCCCCTGATGGCGACACTTCTCCTCATGCAGGCCAGGATGCCCTTGGCCTTTCTTGGCCACAAGGGCACACAGGTGCCTCCTGGCTAACTTGTTGCCAACCAGGACTTGCAAATCCGCACACATGTGCCTGGTACCCTCCTCCAAGGCTATGACTGTGGCACTGCCCCTGTATGCCCAAAACACGGAGCCTTCTTCTGGGCACGCTTTGCAAGGATCAAGAAAGGAGCGACTTCAGGAGCGTCTTCAGCAAATGACCTCCTCCCTTTCATGTAGTCAAACTCGGACATTTTACAGCATTGTCCCCAAGACAAGAGGCTTGGCGAGTGCTCCTAGCCCACCTTCCTGTGTCACTGCAGACGTAAGATGCAGATAGGCCTACATGAATTGGTTTAAAGTAGGAGCATATTTTCTGTTTAGGTGATAAATTTTCTTTTTTTGGGTGCTAGTAATTGTCAGTGTTACCTTCCACAATTTAAACCTGCTTTTGCCCATAGCAGGCTTCTCACTGAGAAAGTAGCTGCATGTGTGTCTGTCACCATTTCTTCCTTGAGCCCATTCCTAGAGGGATTGCCCATTTCTATCCAAAAGCTTAGGTTTTGCTTATAAAGGGGCCTTTTCTTGGTCCTTCACTAGACTCTCTTTTGGATGCCCAGAAGAACTGAATGCCAAGTCCTATGTAGTCACTCCCCGAGAAGAACAGAACACTCTTGCCATCCTGGCTTAGGAATGGGATGGAAGGAGATTCAGGAGCTCTTCTAGATAGTGCAAAGCTTGGCTTGCCTACAGGAGTCTCTTACTTAGCAGGGCAGCTGTGCATGCTTTGAAAGAGAAGGAAGAGCCCTAGCTAGGAGCTTTATCTCCTTTGGCATTATGAGCAAATGATCTGCCCAGTATAGAGAAAGGGGAAAGGCCAAGGAACAACTCCGCATGTGAAAGCATCAGGAAAATGACATCCATCTACACCAAACAAAAAATACTCTCGACCAGAACAGTAGGGCATGGGATGGCAACAGTTGGGCAAAGGGGTGTAAATTTTGTGGGTGGATGGGAGAGGAGAACTTATTTCCTTCTAGCTCTTCTCTCTTCACACTGTCAAAAGGAAGCTTTGTTGAGCCTCGTCTCCTTTGGCATTATGAGGAAAAGATCTGCCCACGACAGAAAAAGGGGAAAGATGAAGGAACAACTCCACATGTGAAAGAGGGAACTGTGCTGGAATGGAGAGCCTCAGGGAAATGACATCCATATACACCAAACACAACATGCACAGCTTTAGATCATTATTAATGATATTTTTATTTACTAAAAGTATTCCTGATGTCTTCCATATAACTACTAATTCTTATGAGTAATGATTAGTCCTGCACAGCTCTCTTCCCATGCACCTGCACTCGATAAAGACAAGTATACTTGCTGTTTCCCCAGTTGCTCAGGATGTTAATCTTTATGTATTTAAAGGCCTTGCAACGTTCACTCTGTAAAGAAAACACGGAGAAGAGCAGAATATTACCGGCATGAAAACAGCAACAACTACACTCAGCGTACAAGCCTGTGCCATTGCTGGTGCTGCAAAGGAAAACACACACGGCCCTTGCCCTCCCTTTTCTGCGGCTGCTCAGCCTTCTCAACCCCGCGTGTGTCCCTCGATCCTGCTCAGGCCCTTCTGCCCCTCCAGGGAGCCCCTGGGAATGCTTGCTCCACCATGCTATTGCCAACCTGCTAGTCTCCCTCCCTGAGGTTGCCCGCATGCACTCATCTGGTACCTTCAGGGAAAAGATCTGAATCTCCTTCTTCCCTATTTCATAGGTGAAGGTGCCAAGCGGCGTGTCTTTTCCTTCCTCATTCAGGCCCTCCAAAACAAAGCACAAGGGGAGCTGGTCATGCAGGAGCCAAGAAAGAGGAAATACACTCTGTACCCCAGGACTTGTTATGTGCCTGGCCTCTGCCATGGCTTGAGGAGGACTCTGGCCCACTTCACCATGCAGCTAAGTGGCCTTCCCCGAGTTTTGCCCTCAGTTGCGTGCCCAGAAAACACTACACAAATGGTGAGAGGCATGAAAGCACCAGCGTGCTTGAAATGGCCCCTTCAGGCACTGCCACGTGTGCTCAGCACAGAGCACAGGCATCTTGGCAAATGTGCAGTGAGGACCAAGTTGCACCTCTAGCTTTTCCGCTCAGCCGCTTGCGCCCCACGAAGACTTACAGAGACAGCGATATTTCTTGGGAAGCTGCTGATACTACAAACTGCAGCAGCAGGTTGGAAGAGGTGCTGCAGAGTTAGAGCGCTGGGACAAATGCGTGCAGGCAGCCGAATGACCACTTGCCCCTTGGAGCCTCGGAAAGCCCAGCTGTCTGCAGGAGTTCTGTCAGGCTGAAAGCAGAAAACAGCAGCAAGGAATGCTGAGGGGAGTGATGGGCCCTTCACCTCAACCTGTGTGATGTGAAGCAAGAGCCACTCCTTACACTGTGGGTTGTACATGTTGCTGTCGAAGCAGGAGGCCTTCTTGTGCACTTGCTAAAGGGACCTCTCAAAATGATAGAGGAAAGGAAGGCCTGTGGGGTATGGAATATCTGCCACACCAGATCTCCCTGCCCATTAGAGTTACAGGAGCCGCCCCGTGCTATCCCCTCAGAAAAGGGCCCGTGAGAAAGGAGGGAGGCCAAAGGGCCTTGATGGAGAGAGTCCTTTGTCCAGCCATGACCAGGCACTGCAAGCTGCGTGCAGCCACTGGGTCCAGTTCATGAGATTGTCTTGGCTGGGAGAGGAAGCAGCTGGTTCCTATGAAGTGAACCCTGAGGAGTGAGGAAGCTGATCAGCCCTGGGAAATGAGCAGCAATGCTGCTGACAGAGGACATGCCCTGGGGCTTTGTAGCCAGCTATGTGGCAAGGAACTAAAGGAGTCCTGAGGCTTGTGCCACAATACCTGCAGAATGTTGTCTGGTGGATTTGGAGCACACAGGAACCCCAAAGTCGTGCAGAGCCAACTCCCTCCCCATGCATAGCTGCTGGAGGTTCTCTGCCTATCAATGGTGGCACCTAAGAGGGAGACGGAGGTGCTGTGAGATCCCACAGCTGTGCTTCTTGCAGAGCATTTCTAACACCGCGTGCCAGCTCTGTCTCTCCCTGCCGCACCAAGCCGCACCCTGTCCCAGGTGCCCACGGAAAGCACCCTCACTGCTCCTGGTCACTGCTTCTCTCACACAGTGGTTGGAAAAGCCAGATGTGCAGGTGCYGAGATTGCAAAAGGCAGGGAAGGGGAGCACAGCAAAGGTGAGGTCGTGTGCTATGGATGGCTCTATGGATGGCAAAGCCATACCCTTGTGGTCAAGAGGAAAGCTCAATGGAGACAAAGGGAGGCTCTAGGGCAGTGCCTGAGGCATCAGCATGGAGCCCCTGGGCAGGACTAGCTGTCTGTCAGAAACAGCCCCTCTGCCACGGCCTTGCTCATGGATCTCTCCCGTCACCTTGGTGAGCAGGAGCTGCCACGCAGCCTCCCTATGGACACAAGCACAGCACGGGGAGACTTGTGTGCCTGTGACCTCCTCACCTGAGGTTTTCAGAGCCCAGGCAGGCAGCTGTACATTGTCTTCATCAAGCAGGGCCTCTCTCATTTCCTGGACTTCCTGGCAAAAACAGGAACAGAAGAAATGACGACCTCAGTAGTCAGCTAGGTAGTTCCACTAGACCTAGCACAGAGGAAGGGCAAGAGCCTGGCTCAGAAAGTGTAAGACCAACCTTGTACAAAGACCTGCAAGGCTTCATTCTTTGTGAAGCCTTCTAAGAAAGGTGTGGAGTGGGAAACACTATCCGTGTGCACAAGCAGATGGAGGGTCATGGGGCAGGTCGCACACCTTGCTCTCCACCCTCCCCACCCTCGAGCTCAGCCTGGAGATGAGCTCCGGYCCTGCCAGCACCGGCTGCTCCCACAAAGTCCTCCTCCAGTGTGTCCCAGGCCTGCTGTGGGGGCCGCACCGGAGCTAGCTGAGGCCCTGGCACTGCAGGCAAAGCCTGTTGGGAATCSCCCCGTCCCAGAAGGAGCCCAGTGAAAGCTGCTGAGGAGAAGGGACCCTCTGGCAGACAAAATCCACCAACAAGCCCCTGCGAAAGGCAGGGAGGCTCCGGCAAGGGAGAAGAAAGCACCAACAACCGCGAGAAGGGTCTTGTCAGCGCTCCTGCTCAGCCAAGGTGTCTTTCACCAAATGGAGCCTCACCTGCTTCATACGCTCCATCTGTGCAAACAGATGGATAACCTCCCTCCTGAGATCCTTCATCAAATCAACTTGTTTGGCCAGCAATCCCATCACATGCCTGAAGAGAGGGAGAAGTAGCTGTTTGAGAGCTTCCCATTGCCCGCAAGGAGCCTCTAAGCCCAGAAGAGAAAAGAGCTCCTCGTGCTTGGGCCCCTTTTGCTCTGCCCACTCTGGCAGTCCTTTGCCATCCCTCTCCGGCTTTAGCAAAAGGCAGACCCAAGAGGTCTTGCTGGGTTTGCAAATAGCACATGTCAGCAGGTACTGCTCTGTGAAATGAGTCCCCAGATATGGCCTCACTCTTTGTCCTCCACTTCCGGCAAGAGTGATCCCAGCAGTCCCTGAAAGGCAAGAGCTTGCCATGAGCATAGCTGCTACCACAAGTGCCAGGGCTTCCCTCAGCCACTGCTCTGGGAGAGGCCAGCAGAACTTGCTGCTTCATTCTGGCAAAGGGAGGCTTTCTTGAGCCTCCCTCTGCAGGCAATAGGAGGATTTGGGGATGGATTCAATCTGCACTGACACGTCTCCTTTGCTGAAGTTACCTGTCCTGCACTAACACGCACCTCTGATGCTCCTTTTGCCCACAGGCTCCATGTTGGCAGCATCAGCACCCAGTAGACAGCAACTGTATTTGACAGCATCAAGAAACAGTGGGGTTACTAGGCTAAAATGGGATCCCCCTTTTAGAGAGTATTTCTGTAGCTCTCTGGTGCCATGGATTGGGAAGCAGGATGGTGCCCCAGATAGCCTCCAGGGTCTCTGCCATCCAGCACACATGTGCTACAGTGGGCCAGCTCTTTGCACACGAAGGGCATACTCACCAAGAGCAAAGGACACAAAGAGGAACAGTTTCAGGAACATCCTTAGCCTACAAAAAGAGGGAGCCATGTTGTAAGCAAGGTCCCAGTCCCTGCATACCCCCATTTACAAGGAACATGTTCCCACCCAAGTGGAAAGAAGGAGCCTCGACTAGACTTCATTCCAGAAGTCTGCTCCTGGCAGACAGCTACCACATGGCACTCCAGAAGGCACGTGGCCTTGGAAAGCACCATTCATTCGCTTGGCAGAGTCAAGCCAGGTAGAGCTTCCTGCAAGAAAGTGCCCAAGAGCACCTTCACACGAGGGATCATAAACGCACAGAGAGGCAGCCATCCCAAGCAAAAAGAGCAAGTAACGCCTTGTGGTGTGCTTGCTTGCTCTTTAGCTGTGAAGGCAGGCTGGTTTCCACTTGAGATTGCCCAGACGTTTACCACCGGTGGGGCATGGGGAAAGGGCTACTCACACAGCCAAAATGCAGGTTCCCAGGAATCTCCACAAGGCCATTCCTGGGCGCCTAAGAAAGCAGAAGAGCCCTGGACAAAGAAAGCAGGACAAAGTGAGGGATCGCTCCTCTGCTCCCTCCTGTGGCATCCACAGGTATTCGAGCGTTGCAGGAGGATCACACTGAGCCCCATGAGCTGCCCCCAAGAGCAGACTGCGTGCCACGGCCATGCCTCACGGCAGACGCTGCAGCAGAGAGCTGCGGAGCTGTCCCATTTCCCATTCAGGCACTGCTGCCACAGCTCAGCCAGCCTCTTCTCCCATAGAAATGGTAGATGATGGCACTGTTGTCCTGTGAGTGTCCTAAAAGCCCCCCTGTGACAGGAGGGATGTTGTGATTTTGTTGTTTGTGCAGGGCCTGCTCGAGACAGGCCAGGTAGCACAGACACGCATCCTCACCATGTGTCCCTTGAAGCAGCAGTGCAGTCAGGGCATGGCCAAGGCACAGGCTGCTCGAAGCGAGCGCTCTGCAGAGCGGCACTTAGCAGCATGGCCCCCAGAGTGCTCACTGCTGCTCGAGGGCACCTCACTGCCCCTGTCCATGGCAGCGCCACGTAGATGACGCCCCTGCGGCAGCCTGGCACCCTGCAGGGCAGAAAATGCCTCTGCGCCCTGGAGATACCATTGCCGCTGAGGAGTGTSTCTCCTGGCCACTGCTGGGAGGAAACACGTTCTCGTCTCCTTTCCACACACAGCAACTTCGCACCTGAGCAGGTGAAAAGACACCCAGCGCCCGAACAGGAGCAAACCTGCTAAGCACAATGAATCACGAGACCACGTTGATCTCTGAGCAGCAGGCTGAGGGGCGGCCCCGCCTTGCGTGGCTGTAAGGGCTGGCTGCCAGTGACCTCACACACAGTCGGGATGGGGCACAAAGCCTGCTGTGATGTCACATGGGAGCAGGAGCCCTTGACATCCCCCAGAGCACCCTCTCACTGAGGGGCACCCATGTCTTTCTTCTTCCCCACTCCTCTCTTCCCAGGGATCGATGCCAGACCTTTCTGGATCTTTTATTTTTTTTCCCCACCTTACTTTGGCCATAGTCTCCCTGTGTCACCTGATTCAAATGCCAGGACTACAGAGCAAATAAAAGCACAAATATAGCCAGCCTTCCGGTCTTGCTGCAGCTCCCTCACTTGCCCAGCACATTCTGTAGACATCCATCTACACCAAACACAACATGCACAGCTTTAGATCATTATTAATGATATTTTTATTTACTAAAAGTATTCCTGATGTCTTCCAAATAACTACTAGTTCTTATGACAATGATTAGTCCTGCACAGCTTTCTTCCCGTGCACCTGTACTCGATAAAGACAAGTGTACTTGCTGTTTCCCCAGTTGCTCAGGATGTTAATCTGTATTTATTTAAAGGCCTTGTAACGTTCACTCTGTAAAGAAAACACGGAAAAGAGCTGAATATTACTGGCATAAAAACAGCAACAACTACACTCAGTGTATGAGCCGCTGCCATCACTTATGCTGAAAGGAGAACCCAGGCCCAGCCCTTGCCGTCCCTTTATTGTGCAGCTTGGCTTGTGGAGCAGTCTGCACAGTTCATCATGAAGCTAAGTGGCCGTCCCCGAGTTTTGTCCTCAGGTGTGTGCCCAGGAAGCACTGAACAAATGGTGAGAGGCATGAAAGCCCCAGCGTGCTTAAAATGGCCCCTTGAGGTGCTGCCACGCGTGCTCAGCACAGAGCACAGGCATCTGTCCCATGTGCAGTCAGGGCATGGCCAGGGCACGGACTGCTCGGAGGGAGCCCTCTGCAGAGCCGCACTTACTACTCCTCTTCTCCCAGGGGTCAATGTCAGCCCTTTCCGGATCTTTTATTCTTTTCCCCATCTTACTTTGGTCATGGTCTTCCTGTGTCACCTGATTCTCCTTGCCAGCTTTGTCTGGCACGCTGATGTAAAATGCTGGGTGTACCAGGCAAATAACAAATGTAGCCACCTTTCCCATCCTGCTGCAGCTGCATCACTTGCCTGGAACAGTCTTGTAAGAACAGGGGGTTGGAAGCAGCCAGACATGCCTAGAATAGAGGACATTCTTCTATCCTCCCAGGCCTGCAGCCTGCCCTGACTGCTGTTGTGCTGTGGAAGGCAGCTTCTCCCTGTCTTACGTCCCATGCCCAGGTGACTGTGGCAATGGACACTTCTTCGCTGATATATTCTGTCAATGTGGAGGCACATTCTCCCAAGAAGACCTTAGCAAGGCTGATGGTTTCCATGCCTTCAGCACTACCTTCAAGTGAGCAGGCCCAAACCTGATGCAATGCAGTGCTGATGCAGTGTATATTTAGACTGAAGCCATTGATAACATGCAGCAAAAGCTGGATTATTTTAGTAAAGTTGTAAAGAGAAATGTTTTAGTGATTACATGTGTATCTATCTGAGGTTAGTTATTGGTTCCTGGGAATACCAGGACACCAGTCATGACCTGTTGAGCTCCTGAACCTTCTAATGAAGCCCAGAGGATTTCTGCTGCAATAGCTGCAAAAGGGTGTCTGGCAGATTTGGAACACACAGGATTCCAGAAGCTCTGCAGTTCTACTACAACTAGCTCACAGCTGCTAGTTGTTTTCTGTATATTTACTGTGAAAGAGGAAGATGGAACTGCTGACCGCAGTTCCTATGCCATAGGACAGCTCTGTTGCTCACTGGCACACAAATATCACAATGCCAGTGTTGTCCAGGGAAAGAAGACTYGGTGGGCTTGGCCACCGCTTTCTCACAGCAGCAGAATGTGGCATGTGGTGGCATGAGGCCTGATGTGCAGTGCRGCCCGTGACTCTCCCCAACTCAGCCTTTGGCGGGGATACAGATCTGGCACCTTCTCCTGTTTTCCCAATGGTCAATAACAGTCCTTCACAGACCTAAACCTTTGGTTTGTTTGCTTGTTTGTTTTTTTTTTTTTTTCCACTTGCTTTGGTGCTAGTCACCTTTTAGATAGAGAAATAGAGTCAATTCCTGTGAGCCAGCCAGCCTTCTTCTTCAATCAAKGAGCAAGTAGACTTCAGAGGTACTGACACTTTCCTATTTTTAAGGCAGAAGTGGCACAGTGCAGCATGCTGCTATTGTGCTCTTTTTTCCTGGCATAAGGGTTGTGCAAGTGCAGGTCTTTGCTGCACCCTTGTGGCATTACTCACCAGCCGAATCACTGAAGCACGTCCCCACAGAGGAAAGAAAACAGCACCTGGCCATGAAAAGGGTGTTAAGAAGTTTATGTCGAGCACACAAAAGTCAGGACATGGCCTGGTCATGGCAATTTTCATGGTGTTTTAATGATTCCTTCAGTTTTGAAAATGATAGTATGCTGCTAGTGTAGTGTTTTCACTTCCTTTGTCTCACTGTGACGATAATTAAGAGTTGAGCTCTCCTCAAGTAGAAGAATGGCCTCCTGCCTTCTTGAGGTCATTGTTGACAAGGAACAGTCCTCTGAGCATTTTGGTGGTTCACTCAAGCTAATTGTTTGCATTTTTAGTTCTCTTCTGTAGTCAGACTTTGCAGCTGAAGAGAATATTCCTGCTGCACATGTCCTGATTGTCCACAAAAGTAGTACTTTCTTTCCTCTGCATCCTAAAATTAATTCCCTTGTTTCCTGCCCTCAGCAAACCCCAGGCTTGGACTTCCTCTTCCTCAATCCCTTTCTTACCATTGCAAATTCCTTGCGAGAACCTCTGCCAGTAAGTTTCTTTCTTGTTGTATTTGTTTTGGTCCCTCTTTTATTTCGTCTTTTTATTCTAACCCATCATCAATGAATACTTCTACATGTAAATTCTTCTGTAAAGTCTCCCCTTGACAGTCTGGCATTTGCTTCTTAAAATACATCTGTGTATCAGGGGCCTCTGGATCTATATCTCTGCGGTTTTGTGAGGTCTTTTCTCCATAGTTTAGTAGGGCTTGCTGAAGCCATCCCCAGAAGTCACTGGGCCATTCCTGTTTGCTGTCTACATTCTTACAGTTTGGTCCAATGTACACGTAACTCACTCCAAGACTTAATTGCTTCTGTTAAATTTTGGAGTGCTGTTTGGCATCCAGCTTTACCTCTTGCAGTATTATAATCCCAATTTGGATTGTTTGCTGGCCAGAGGCTCTACCCTCTGCTGTTTTTTGTGCTAGTTCTGTATTTTATGTGGATTGTTTTGTTCTGCTTAGCTGGTTGCCCAAAAGAATTTGGATCTCTCTCCACTTTGGCTTGTACCCAGTGTCTGTGTTAGAAAGTAATTGTGCACATTGCTTGGTATTGTCTCTTAATTTCACCATTTTACTTGCCGGTAAAGCAAGATCACTAGGGTTCCAGGTTGATTAATAAGTACAGTAASCACAGGAGGAGAGGGATTACTGCCTCTCCTTCCCCCGGCTGTAAAGGGTCAAGATTCAATAGCGACRTCTAAGTGTCTAAGCAACGATAAAGGAGAAAGAGCAGGAAGAACAAATATGTTGTTGGGCATATAAGGCGGAGCAGAATTTTTTGGGTGTAGTCTGTGCTGCTAGCATCTGCAAGTACAAGTGTAATACCTTTATGTCATAAATGTCACAGGGGTGACGTTTGGCAGGGTTCCTTTTCTCCTTCCTTCTTGTCTCAAATCCTTCCGTGCTTATGCCCGTTATTGCAAATATACCAGTAATCCATTTGACCTATCTTGTAGACAATATTGCAGAAAAGTTATTTTTTCCTGAATCTTAGTGTAGTTAAGGCTTCAACAAATTTAGCAGCCATGAAGCCAGATTACAAGTAAAAGCAGCAGCAACRTAACAAACAACAACAACAAAACCCACCACTTTGTTTTTCCACACCCAGAGCTGCTGCTGTGCTGGAAGACAAGTCTATAGTAATGGCTCTCCAGATGACCTTGTCCAATCTCAGCAAGCAAAAGAGAGAATTGTTCCAATCAAGAAATGTTTCCTAATGTTCCCGGCTGACTTTCTCAAAAGCTTGGGTCTCGACATTATAGGAAATGTTGGAAGGTGTGGAGAAGAAACAAGAAAGCTACAAAAGGCCAGAGGCAAAGGTAAAAGGGAGATCAGGTTGGAAGTTAAAGGACAGAAGTGCCAATGCCAAAT